GGGACAGCATGCGATCCCTTTTGACAATTCTGCCAGATCTGCCCCCTACCAGACATTGTTTATAATTCAAGGGTAAAAAAAATACTTTTTATATAACATAACATTGTATAATTTACAAAATATTATATATAACATTTTATATATATGCATACACATATACAACTTTTATATAAAAGGAGATTAATATCCGTGAGATGAAGAAATCCACACATAGTTCCCTCTTTATGGATCCTCACCAGCAATAAAACATGAAGCACACTGTCTAGTAAACAGCAACAGCAGAAATAAGCAGACGAAGCAGCTGATCATGTAACAGATTATGGTGGGCCAATAATGAATTGTTGCCTTAATATATTTTCCTAAATTCATCTTCATATTCCTCATTAACCAAGTATAAGAGTCCTCCACAAGGGCTGGATGCGTACAACAGTTGTCAGGTATTATCCAATTCTTACACAGTCTATGACCTATTTCCTAAAGGCCAGAGTTGAGATGAAGGCAGGTCAGCTGAAACTTTCTCCAAGAACCACAGTGATAGATTTCACAGATTGCAGTTCGTAGTGGAGTTTCATCATAACAGGAAATAACCCCAATACTCCAGAAACAGAACAGTCAGTAAAATTGCCAAGTGAAAGTCAAGAGTAAATACAAAGACTCCAAAACTTTGGAACCTAGCTGCTCGCAAGCAAAGCAGTGATCAGGGCAAACAAAGCTAAGCATTTGTATGTAGTGAAAAAAAAGTATTACTGAACCTGGTAAGTTAGAATCTGTTATTTTCCAGACAACCTGCAAGACCCATCTTCACTCCCAATTATTTCAGGTGATCCTTTGGATACCATATGGTAGAAAAAGGTTATATTAAGTAAGCTTTAGTCCATTTCTTCAATCATAAGTTGTTTCCATTCAGTACAAACAGGATGCAGTTGTATTAAACTGTGATACTGGTACCTGGAGGATAACAGCAAAGTATTTTAATGCAACAAGCTACCACTCACTTGCTATTCTGTGAATGAAAAGACGGAAATGATGCTATAAGAAGGAAATAACATTGTCTTGCCAAGACTAGAATCATCCAATGAGAATTTCTTCCCTCACACTAAATAAAACTACCAGACATATTGGTTCACTTTCTCTGTTCCTCATTTTCTTCAGCCTTTTTGAGGAAGGACACTTATGGTGTCACCCCCATAAATGGCACCATCAGCAAACAATCAAGCTATCTGAAAACCCATTTTGTACTAGCACTTCCAGCTCCAGTATTCACTGACTGCATACACAAAAAAACTAAGCATTTCTGATTTGATTATGAAATAGAAAAAAATCATTCCCATCACCTTGCAGCAGGCAGGCAGAAGAGCAAGTGTATTTTCAACAGCTCCTCCAAGCCATCAGAAGTGAAAAATAGAAATTATCATTATGATCTTTTTGTCTGATCTCCTTCAAAAGGTCAGGGAAAGATGAATATTATGAGCTCATTTCTGCAAAGCAGAATAGAAAAGGATCCTGTCTTATAAAAAGAACAGCTGACCACAGCTTAAGTTAGACACAGCAGAATTGCTAAACCATTCAAACTGCATGGTGGGCTGGTTTGTAATTGTTTTCCATTTCCTTTTTGTAACTGAAGACACAAAGAGGAATACAGTTAAAAGCAAATCTCCTAATCAAACCATAGACTACCAACTCAAGTCCTTAGCTATTAAGGCTACTCCACAGGAAACATGGTAAGAAATATAACAGGTTCCAATTCCCCTGCTACATCAGGTCTCTAGGAGAGAAAGGGTCTACGTGCACAGATCAAGCTGTGGGATGATCAGAGTTGTTATTTTTCCCTGAATCAGCACTGGGAGGGCAAACAACAGTTTTCTGCCAGCCTATGAGAGCATTCTTGTAAATATAGCAGATACACTGAAGCCATTTATAACCCCAGTATGGCACTGCAGCCAAAACTCATGGTTAAGACAGCAGCCTTGTCCTTTGGCTTAACTGAAAGGAAAGTTGTCAGAAGTTATAAAAAAAACCCAAACAACACAGAAAATGTGACAAAGACTTGGAATGTAGTACTGGAAAAAACATTAGAAACAAAAGCAGTTAAGCAAATATACAGTCTTTTTTTCCCTAAAAATTGCCTTAAAATACTGAAATATGCAAAATCCAGATTGTAAACAGGTAAATTATAATACTGTGCTTCAAGGGCAAAAATCTACAACAACTGCTTGCAGACAATAAACATATGATTTCGTCTAGCAGCTCCTAGAATAGGAATCAGGGCGATTTAGAAAGGAGGGGAAGTCAACCCTTTGTTTTATCTGAAGGATGCTTCATTCAGAGTAGTCCTATCAGATTGAAACATTCATCATTGTATTTCACTCACAGATAGTTTCTCCCCCTCACGAACAATATACAGATTGCACAAGAAGATAATGAGACATGATGGCCAGGGAAAGGAGGGGTAAAGGAATAAAACTTCATCCTGGAAAAAGAAACAAAAATAAAGAATCCTGTCTTTTTCAAATAACTCCTGAGCAAAAGCAAAGATTTTCCCCACCTCTACCACTCTTTTCTCATTTGACCTTGCTCCTGTTGGGTATTTAACAAACTTCAAGTCAGGTCACTTTGACTCATGGCTTAACATTACCAGGAGACAGTCATTTAAATTCTCCCACAGTATAAAGTCCCATCTAAGTATAAACAGAGCAGTTTCTTTAAAGGCATAGATCTGCCCCTCAGCACACCACATCCCTGCACACCCTTCTCCCCCCCACCCCACCCCTTCACTGCATCTCATGTCCGTAAGAGAAGCAACAACAAGCCAACAGAAAGGCCAGCAACGAGGAGTTTAAACTACGGATGTCATCTCTCCAGTAGCACTCTGCCAGAGAACATTGTAACTTCAGCTGTAGCCACTCCTGGGTCAGGACTGATAAGCTAATGGAGAATGAAGCAATCCATTTCACAATGTAAACAGCTGTTTGACTACACGGGGAACAATATAAACAAATGGATCTATTCATAAATCATCATTCAGACTTGTTGTAGAACAGAGAATAACATGTTCCAGGCCAGAAATGACAGTATTTCCAAGAAGACGGTAGAAATTCAAACAGCTTCTATCTTCTTCCACCAGTCTGCGCCACTGACACTCCCTGTTCAGTTCTACAGAAGCAATTGAAAGGGCCTGATTTTTCAGGAACAAGATACTCTAGATGTAAAAGGACATTGGTGATCGTGGCAGGGGGCAACCTCGTTATCATACATATGCTTTTCTCCAACACCTCAAAAAAGTCAACGGTAGCATCTCTGCAGCGCAGCGAGGGAAGCAAAATACATATTAAAAAAAAATACAAGCACGAAACCCCCGAGTCCTACTCCTACTTTTTCCACCCCTGCAACCCAAACCAACCAATTTCTCCCCCAACCACACACTTCAGTTTTGTCGGAGAACACTGCCTGTGGGTGTCAATCCACAGCCCCCCTTAGTTATTATTCGCACCCCCTCGAAGAGCAGCTGCTGCCCTCCCAGGCGCTGAACTGCTTTAAGAACCCCCCC